AATGTACATGAAAACCACGGCGAGTGAAAAAAGTATTGACTGCTCTGTCGCCACACAATAATCGCCTCCCTTAATGTTGATATATGGCCTCTGTGATACGATACTTCTTACGAGCTGAAGAAATGACCCCACTGAACAGCTGGAGCGTCTACACGTCGTGGCTATTTTGTTTATTATAACAATGAGGAAGTCTCAAGTTGGGGTGAGATTTATTGAGAGCTCTTCAGCATGAAACAGCCTATTCCTCTCTGTAAGATTCAAAGACTAGACATACGAGCAAAGCCAACAGGAAAATGGTGAAAATGGCTTTTGGTTTCAGTACAGAAATGTATGTCCTTACAGACATTTCTTACAGAGATCTTTCCTCTTGGGCCCTTAAAACTAGACTACCCCCACCCAAACGAGAAAGGCACGACTACCTTCATCTAAAGTAGGTGTATCCAAATGGTAAATTCAACCAGGATGTTTTTTTTATTTTTATTCCAGATAAGTGCGACAGTCAAGATTTGTGTCCCGTGAGAACATGCCATCTAGCTCAGCTACTCGAGCGAACAAGGTTCCCACAAATGAAGCGAGATGACGCTTGTATGCCTGATGTAGGGAGGACATATCACGATACGATGAAGTTCCCAGTAGTTTTCACGCGGTTCTCGATCTCATCTCGTACGCGACTTAAAGGAAGACTCTAGAATTCCACGATACATTCATTCAAACAGGTCCAGGGAGACTCATAACTTTGGTTCAACTAGGAATGAAGAACAAACGTCTAATTTCAATCGTGGAGACTGTGTCCGACTCCACTAACCCATCAAGATTTGGGTGGCATATAAATGTGCCAAATCCCGTAATTTTATTTTTCTGTATTTGAGTGGGCTAAGAGAGATATTCCGATATAATAAATGAGGTCATTCGGGGGATCTAACATGACCCATACGGTTTCTTCCACTTTCGTTCCCTTGTAAACTTTGCCCTCCGAGACGTAATTAATGGTAGTTGCAAATATTATACATTTATCTCATCTGGATGAAAGGGGACGGAGTGCACGGGCAATTTTCCAACGGGCTTCCATTGAGATAAGAATAATTATTGTCTGGGAAGGTTTAAGCTACGAGTACTCCTACTAATGAAGAGGTTATACACAATGAGGCGTATAAGTTATAGGCAGAGTGCACGGGCAATTTTCCAACGGGCTTCCATTGAGATAAGAATAATTATTGTCTGGGAAGGTTTAAGCTACGAGTACTCCTACTAATGAAGAGGTTATACACAATGAGGCGTATAAGTTATAGGCAGAGTATGGAATCAGACATTCCATAGAATGCCTAGGTTTTTTATAGTAATGGACTTTAAATATGAGACGGACATTGTATGCGTGTTTAGCCTTCTTCCTTTTTTTTTCTCGTAGACTTGCACAACAGTACAGGGGTATACCGTGGTGTACTGGTTCCCAGCTCTCTTCTAAACTTTTCGGATCAATTCTGTTCGCCAGAAATCAGTATTGGAGACGGTTAATCAGAGCGTCAAAGACTGTATCTTTCTTTTTCCCTTTATTTCGCATCTAAGTTCGGACATCCAAAGGCAATATCGGTAGTCATAAGGAAGACAAAATCGTTGTTGCACTCATACCTCATCGTGTCGTGCTCCCAGGAGCAAAAAGTGAAGCTTCCAGCTTGTACCGTTGAGATAGGACGAGCGAATGATGAGGCTAGGCAGGCGTAACTGTCCGAACATTGGTGGTTTTACCCTACTGTCTTGCACAGAGTGGAAAAGCAGAAGTGGGAATTTACCTTGCCTCTCTGGGTTGAGGCAGACATGGTTATCAGTCAGGAAAATCACGGAAGAAGGGTCGCCCCTTTGCACTTTCGCCACAACCGTGTGTGGGTCAAAGATTAAATCACATCAACTTGCAATTCTTGTCGAATTTGGAATTTCCATGTATGTAATGGTGAAGAAGGCTATGCTTCCTATCATAAGAGACCTCCAATTTCCCTTAACAGTTTTAGGTGAGTTCTACCTCACGGCATTCCATTTTTAAAGTTTGAATTTCAATCTGTCACGCTTTGGGTCAACATCATGGGATGCATTTCGTCATTGGGAAATCCCCAATAGCCTATAGGCAAATCTGCATCGAATTCCGATCCGTAGTATTCAAGAGGGGTGCGCATTCGAATTTGAAATGCCCAGGTATTGAGATTTGCATCGGACGCGAATCGGCTCGATAGAACCGACCAGGTTCGATCCGCTCGCTTGGCCATCAAGTTTCCGGTCGGATGCGGGCTAATACCTCATCACAGACCTCTCGTTCTAGAGCTTAGAGGCCTAGGCGATCTTCGGACAGGCCGATCTGTCCGACACGAGCTAAGGGCCACGCTCAGCCGGCGATCGAGCTCCGGGTAGAGTTCGGAAAAGTCGATCCGTGCAGGCCATCAGTCGAGAGGAGCGACGAGCAAGGAGAAGGAACTGGAATAAGGAGGAAATTCTGAGTTGTTCGGCGGAGGGAGGAATGCCGTCGCCCCACATCCCTAGGGCAAGAGGAAGCAAAGGGAAGAGAAGGCTAGGCATTTGAGGGACTGTGAGAGGTGAAGGAGGGAGGGAATGATAACGCATCGTCTTCTAGACTTTCCAGGTATCGGAACGTGTATAATAATATCATATAAGGTCCCACCATTCGGTGATCTGTACGCCAAGGAAGGCGATTCGGGACCTGGCATCAGTCAAATCATCAGAGCCGTTTCTAGGCATATTTGCGCCCAGGGCAAGGAGTTCCAAAAGCGCCCTCCACCCCACACTCACCAAACCACGCAAAGCCCCACCGCAACTCTGGCAACGAGGGCCTCATCCCCGGAAACTGACAGGGAGCCGGAACTGATGGAAATAATTTTGTTACATTTGTAAATAATCAAAGCCAAGTCAAGGCATTTCTTCCACGCTAATCACATTAAAAAAAAAAAAAATGGTTTTTATTATTCTGTTTCCTTGCGCGACGCCCCCCTCCGCTGGCGCCCCGGGCGATCGCCCGCTTCGCCCGCCCCTAGAAACGGTCCTGCAAATCATGATAGGTCAGAGGGGAATAAATTCATTGGCGTGCAATTGGGCTCTCTGTGTACTCTACGTGTAGTCTATAAAGGTTGGCGTACAAAAATCATGACATCTCGTTCTTGATAAATTCGGGTCCGAGAAAGCTAAAACCAGGATTTTCGAGACGACTTTTAAATGCCGCGCAAAAACCGTCAATCTGGACGATCTGGACGCCACTTTGCATGGAGATTCAATTGGGCCTAGTTAAAAAATAAAAGTATCATGCATTTCTCGGAAGAGAAAACATAAGGAGTAAGGAAAGAGATTTTCGCAAAATCCGTCCCCCTTCCCAAATCGCAGTCACATCATCATGAATTTAACATCACTATTATGAAGAGTATATAATGAAGAGAATGAAACCAATTTTAAAGCTGAGCGTGGAACGATGCCGGAAATGTGAGCCTCCGAAAGGACTCACTGAGACTCGAGAAGTTACTCTTAGGCCCTCTTCTGAGGTCCCTAACAATAATAGAGCGAAATTTCGATCCAGGGGGGTCAATTTCTGTTTTATATGTCTTCATGGCAATCTGGGACTTAACGTTTGACTCGTGCGACTGAAATTCTCAGAGAACTCAGAAACTTCGTACTGATAAAGAATTAGTACTGACGTACCTTTGTCGTGCTTTCAGGGAAGCAAAATTCGATTCGGCGACATCATCGCTGTAATGGGTCTCACGTTGTATGGCATGGAGAGCGACCGAGCCGTTTGCAGATACAGAAACCTGGATTTTGTTAATTTCCTTCGTTGTGATGTCCCATACGTGAAATTAGGAGCTGAATTAGACGAAAACAGACGCTCCTCTATAAAGTTCACTTGCCACAAAACAGGCATTGATCTCTGGAGTACGACGAACCCGAAAATATCCTTTTACGCACACTTTTTTATGATCACCCTGGCGAACTGGTTTTAAACAAGATACTAAAGAATACCTTGTACGTGGACGCTTATGTCACACGTGCGCCCTCGCTCTGGGATACCGAAAGATCCACCACGCGAGGAAAGGAGTGTGGGGGGGGGGGGGGGGGGGGGGTAGGCAAGGTTGCCGATGAAGGTCACTTTTTTCTCTACTGGGATTTGTAAATTATACGTGCCACTTTTAACTTGGGCTCCATATAGGTATTTAATATCTAATTTCAGAACGTCCAGTCTAGTTTAATGTCACTTTTTTTCGCGGAGATATCCCCTCACTTCGTTGCTTGCAAAATATAATAGAAAACACGCATAGCGTCATTGATTGTTGTACGAATTGAAGGAAATCACTGCAGGGACGTGACGTCACTGCGCACGTGGTTGTCTTCAGGGTCAACTCGTATCTTATTTCAGGTCTCTCGAGCGCATAATTCCATCCTTCATCTCTTCTTCGCTCTCCAGCTGGTTTACTTGATTTATATTCCCCCCATTTTTGTCGTCTTTTTTTTTCTCGCGTTGGCCGGTGATGGACAGAGGGAGAAGCCTTGCCCCAAGCTAGAGAGAACACTAGGTCGGGATGTCCGGAGCCACTGAAACCGTAGTACCGGTCTGGGCCTCTGCTCAGGCCGTGGACATCGTGCGAGCCGATGACTTGGTAGGAATCGTGCTTACGTTCTCCGCGCATGTGGGTCTGAGCGAGCTTCTTGGCCGACTTCCGCGTCATGTTGCGTGCTGCTCGTGCCCCATTCCAACAGAGAAGGTTCTTCTCGTCCACACAGGTAGCGTTTGCTACGATTTGGAGGCAAGCCATCATAGCCTTCCTTACCGGCTATGGATTTTGGTTGCTTCTCTTGGGTTCAGGTTGTTCGGGAAATAACGGAAAGGCCAAACTGGGCTTGCAGTGCCATACTCACGAAAAGCTTCAACAATATTGTTTTGGCGTAAGGCTGTTATGATACTAAAGGCTATTGATAACCAACGAATAACCTTATTATAGGCCAAGGTCTATATTATGCCAGAGGTGGATAGCATCTATTACTGGCTAAAAGTTGAGCACAAGGAAGGAATATGATGCCAAAGGAGCCAGGTGGGATTGGGGCTGTTTTTCTTGTATCACTGATTGGGCTCCTAACTGCTTCAAACCCAGTCAAAGTGAATGGGAAAAAAAGTGAGGGGGTTGGGGCATGCACCTTTAACATGTTGTTTTGATGTCTATATCATAAGCTGACAGCTCCTTTTCACAAAGGAGGGCCAAGGAATAGGGATACAAATACAATAAGGGCTATGCTGCCTAGGATATAGCTGGATCCAAGATATCCCTATATATAGCCTTAAAAGTAAGGCTCAAATCACCAGGTGATTATAGCTCACTTCTCTGAGTAATAAAAAATATGGAGTCTGGGTCTAAAGTAAATGAACTAGATCATGCAGTGATCAGGATGTTTTGAAACAGAGCAAAGAAATGTAGTTAATGCCAATAGATGATAAAATTGGCCAACTACAGATGAAAGATTGAACTTTTAAAATTAGTTTTCCAATGCTTATTTCAACAAAGAGCATAATGGGAACTTCATCCAGTGTCCAAACTTTTGGCTAGTGCCATATGATGGGCCTTGAGGCTAATCAACAGTAGCATTTCAAGTGTTTCATTTTGTTCAATAATTTTAACTCATTCCTCTATAGGTCATGGCTGAGAGGCTGAAGTGTGCCATCATTGGGCAAAGCACTTTTGCCAGTGAGGTATACAAACTTTTGCAGCAGGATGGTCATAAAATTGTTGGTGTCTTCACAATTCCTGACCAAGGAAAGAAGGAGGACCCCTTGGGTGAGTTTTAAAATTAATAATAGCTAGGCCTATGGCAATTAAATTTAAGTTTCTCATAAATGAATTGATGAATTTTCTTGTGCTATGATTACAGCCACAATAGCAGCAAAGGATGGCATTCCAGTTTTCAAATTGAAAGCCTGGCGTCAGAAGGGCAAAATCATCCCAGAGGTGTTCGAGAAGTACAAATCTGTGTCTCCAGACCTGAATGTCCTTCCCTTTTGTTCTCAGTACATCCCAATGGAGGTTATTACATATCCAAAGCATCAAACCATCTGCTATCATCCATCCATTCTTCCTCGCCATCGAGGGGCCAGTTCCATCAATTGGTAAGATTTACCCCACCTTGGAGCTAATTTGTATTTCAAGAATGAGCTGCTTGTAGGCCCAGGTGTATAGCTGATTGGTTCCATTTGAGACAGTTTTAAAATTTTGTTGTCAGGAGTCTTCATCTCTGCTTGCAAACTATTTATCTACAGGTATGGAAAAGAGCTTGCTTGACTGGTTTTTTAGATAGATAGAAGCAAGATTTTGGAATTTCAAGGCCAACAGCCACTGCATGTGGAACAGGGCCAAATCATTTATAATGCAAGCCCCAATAGATCTTTCTTCTGATTGGCTACAGACCCAGGCCTTCTCCCAAAAATTTTTTTTGCTCCTTCCCACTTGACATGAATATGCCCTGTTATGGCTGACCTTTGCTATCAGCCAATTATTGCTGCACCCCTGTTTCTAATTAGGAGAAGCTGAGGAAAAGTGGAGATTTCTCATGAGTGTTGCAAAATGTATAGCATGCAGTTCCTTAAAATGCTAATTCAGGTACTGAATAAAAAATGCATGGGAATGAAATAAACTATTGTCAAAGTTAGTTTATGTAATGTGTAGTACTAAATATACAGAGTGGGGTAAAAGTCCTGTCTCTTTGGAATCTCTTTCACTGAATCAAATGTTCAAAATGGACTGCTTCATGGATATGGTGATGAATGCTCTCACGCACAAGTGTGAGAGACTCTTGTCATTGCTGCACAACCTGTGAAACAGACAGGACTTTTGCACCCCCCAGTATATTTTCCCATTCTTACCAGGAATCAGAAAATATATTGAGGGTGGAATGGAAGTGGATCATAGATTTCCAAAGAAATCTATGATCCACTATGATCCAGAAAAAAAGAGAGTTTACATGGCTTTACAATATTTTATCAAATTATAGGTTTTTTTTTTGCTATGCTTAGAAGAATCATTGAAACACTCTAACAAAATGAATATTCACTGGTGTTTATAAATATAAGTAAAATGGAAGTATGACTTGTTGGTTTAGAGCTGAAAAATGCTGCTTTGCTGCCACTGCTGTGATTCTGCATTGTTAGTACTAAACACTAGAACTATTGGGGCAGTCATTTTGACTGCTTGCCATTTTTAAATGCACTTGATTCTGCTTCCACCTAAGAGCCTCCACAGTTTTTACTTTTCCTATCCAATATGGACATTTCGAACATTTTACCCGTACCAAAATGACATCTGGGAAAAAATATATAAATAAAATGTTACAGATTAATAGTTTTATACTACCTTTAATGCAGCAGTCAAATTGACCACTCTTGTAGTTCTAGTGTTAACTGTACTTTTTCTTTTGTGGAATATTTATTTTAGAAATTGTGCTTCAGGTGTGCAGACTGATAATAAGTTCTTCCTTTGTCTTTCTCAGGACACTTATGATGGGAGATAAGCGAGCTGGCTTCTCTATATTCTGGGCTGATGATGGCTTAGACACTGGCCCTATCCTTCTGCAGAAGGAATGTGCAGTGGACCCAAATGAGAATGTGGATTCCATATACAAGAGATTCATGTACCCAGAAGGTATCAGGGCAATGGTGAGATTTTTGTCAACATGTCACTTAATTGATAGTTTTAATTTTTTGTTAAAAATGTTCAAAATTCAACTTTTTTATTATTTTAGCAGAGTGCTCTTTGTTCACTACATTTGCTTTTGCCATTGGTTTTGTCAGGGAGAAGCAGTGAATCTGGTTGCAGCTGGAAAAGCACCAAAAATTCCTCAGCCAGAAGAAGGTGGAACTTATGAAGCTATGCTCAATAAGCCTGAACTCTCCAAGGTAGAGTCCATTACATGCAGCATAAAGAGTAATTTGTTTGTGGAGATCACTGATCTGGAAACTTTTTGGTATTTCTGTTCATGTTTTCAGATAAATTGGGACCAGCCAGCAAGAAACTTGCACAACTTCATTCGGGGACTTGATAGCTCACCTGGTGCCTGGACCATCATTGATGGCAAAGAGGTCTGACATGAAAGTTCATCATTAAGCCAAGTAACATCTCTGCCTAAAGGAGAGCTTTGCCATTGGATAAGAAAATAGATGGTTTTAGCATAGTGGTGGGTCATTGCCTGTCATTGAGAAGAACTAACAGAGAAGGTTCAAGTTGTTTTGAAAAAATGCATTTGGAAGGATATTTTGGATGTTTCTCCAAATGGAACCCAATGGGATTTACATGATTGGATTCCAATAGGGTAAGAAGGATTCTGAGCATCTATTAAGGGCTAGTTTCATATCCTCTTCTTAATCTAGAACTCAATTGCAAATAATTTCCAGTTAAAGAGGCTACATTTAGGGAAGAATAAAGTATACAACTCTTGCCCAGGTCAGTATTTTGATATCCGAAAGGCTCTCCTTTGG